CCTGATCACCCTCGTAGGTCCAGACCATACACATGAGGCAAGGAGTCCCCGGCACCAAACAAACTCATCTGACACATCGAGGGGGTGGAGACATCTGGCCTGCGGGCTGTATGAGGCCCATGAATTCATTTGGTCTGGCTCTGCCAACGCATTAGGGATGAATTAATTAAATGTTTGATCAAATGTAGCAGGCTAATTTTTAAGTGATAATTTTGTATGGCCCTCGAATGATGCTATAAATATCCAAATGGCCGCGGGCAGAAAAAAGGTTCCCCACCCCTGCTCTACTCAAAGACAGCATCAGATTCCATAGGTTAAGGGCTCAGTCCTGCAAGATGCCTCCCCTCCAACCGTCACCCCCCACCTCTCTCTTTCTCTTTCAGCCAGATTCTTACCTGTGCTCTGACCAACCTGTTATAGATTGGGCAAGATATGTGGGAATGGACACAGAGCTCCCACTCTCTCCAGGTGCACTGCTCTCCCCAAGTCTCCACATGTTCACCATCCCGGAGCTCTCTGAACTCATCCTCTTGGTTTTTTGGAGGCTTCATTACACAGGCACTGTTGAATAAATCACGGTCATTTGATTCAACCTCCAGCCCCTCTCTCCTCCCCGGAGGAGGTTGGAGATGGGCATGGTTAGGTATGGGAAGTGGGGGAGGAACAGAAAGTTCTAACCCTGAGGGCCACTGGGTTGGCTTCATTGGCAACCAGCCCATCCTGAGGTGCTTTCCGAAAGTCACTTTATTGCTATAACAACACACCTCTTTCACTCTCAACACTTGGGAAATTTACATATGTATATGGAGGTATATTTCCTGAATGACCAAATAATTTCTTACAAATTACAATATTGCACCCTCCATTCACTTAGCACAAAACTTCAGGATATTTGTCTCAGAACCTAGCACACTGTCTCCGGAGAAATCACTTCCCATGAGTGAGGCTCCAGGAGGCCTGTTGCCCTTCTCCCGGTAGCTGCATCGCCCCTGCAACCTTTGGTCTCTGCATGGTCACAGCTTCAGGGGGCCGCTGGATAGCTGAGAGAGACTGTATTTGCTCCACAACTGTTTAAGCACTCACCGAGTTCTAAGTGCTGGAGACACAGCAGGGAGCCAGAAAGTCTAAGCCTGAACTCCTATCCTTGGGGGAAAATGACAGAAGGCCATCACTGTTTAGTTACAGTGGTGGTAAGTGCTGCAAGGAGAGCACGGAGGGTAAGGAGCAGGCCTTCACCTGGTGGGTGGACCGGGGCAGCCTGGCCCTGAGCTTTATCTGCCTCCCCAGCTGACAGTGGCTGGGTGTGGATCTTGGCAGAATACCGGGAACCTTAGGCAGGTTTCAGCAACTCAAACTCTGTGAAACAGAGTGGAGGTGTTACCAGCAATGTGGACTCTCTGTTCTTGACTTTGTGCAGGAAAGATTTCACAATACAAGTCCAGGTGTTTATTAGAGTATGGTTATTAAAGCCGGGGACAGTGAAACAAAGGAAGGGCTTAAGATAGAAGAGGCAAGATCATGCAACAGGAGTGAGCCTGGGTGGAACTGCTTTAGCCCTTGATAAAGAAAGTCACAGAGCCCTAGCTGGTTTGGCTCAGTGGATAGAGCGTCAGCCTGCAGACTGAAGGGTCCCAGGTTCAATTCCGGTCAAGGGCACATGCCCGGATTGTGGGCTTGATCCCCAGTAGGGGTCATGCAGGAGGCAGCTGACCAATGATTTCTCATCATGGATGTTTCTATCTCTCCCCTCTCTCCCTTCCTCTCTGAAATCAATAAAAATATATTTTAAAAAAAGAAAAAAGAAAGTCACAGAGACAGAAGAAGTGAACCAGCTGGGCTGGACTCAGGAAACAAGTTGCTGAGGGACCGTTGAAGAAAGCAAGCAGTGTGCCTTAGGAAAGAAGGGGGTAGGGGGCAGGGGGAGCGGGTTAGCCCTGGCTGCATAGCTTAGTTAGAGCCTTGTCCTGATATGCCAAGATTGCAGATTTGATTCCTGGTCAGGGCACATACAAGAGTCAACCAGTCAATGCATAAATAAGTGGAACAACAAATCGATGTTTCTTTCTCTCTCCCTTTCTAAAAATCAATCAATAAATTTTTTTTTTTTAATGTGGGGGCGATGCCCAGACATGCTCTAGAGCAGCGGTTCTCAACCTGTGGGTCACGACCCCTTTAGGGGTCGAACAACCCTTTCACAGGGGTCACCTAAGACCATCGGAAAACACACATATAATTACATATTGTTTTTGTGATTAACCACTATGCTTTAATTATGTTCAATTTGTAACAATGAAAATACATCCTGCATATCAGATATTTACATTACGATTCGTAACAGTAGCAAAATTACAGTTATGGAGTAGCAACGAAAATAATTTTATGGTTGGAGGTCACCACAACATGAGGAACTGTATTAAAGGGTCGAGGCATTAGGAAGGTTGAGAACCACTGCTCTAGAGAGACAGAGCACATGCTGTGTCTTTTGTCTTAAGGGTTTTTATGTTTTCTAAAGGCAGGGATTTTAGGGGAGGATCTCAATAGAATATTCATAAGCTTTTAAGGTGTGTCCTTTCAGGGTCATGGTCTCTACTGATGGGTTGGTGCTAGGATAGGAGGTCATTGGTCATTGCACTGGTCTTTTTGTTGTTGTTACTCCTTACCTGAGGATATTTTCCATTGATTTTTCGAGTGGACTTGTGGGCTGACTTCAACACCCTGTAATTGACAGCTCTAGGGCCTAGTTTGAGCTGAACAAATTGCTTCCTGTAGTTTCAAATCTAACCAGCTCTCTGTTTGTTTTCTCTCTGCCCCCACACCTTCCCACTGTTTGATCTCAACACAAAAGAGGCACCTTCAATTCTTCGGATTGTTTTCCTGCTTCCACACTGGAGAGGGAGATGTGGTGAGAGTATGGTTGAGGAAAGAGAGCAAAAAAGGCAGAAAATATAAGGAGGAGGCCAGCAAATACCATCATCTTACCCTGCTCAGGCTGGGAGCTTGCCCACCAGTTCTCTGTATTCCCACCACATTCCCTTCCTGCCAATTCAGAGCTGGCCTAGATTCCTGCCAATTAGCCCCTTGGTTCAGTGTTAACAAAGGAGCTTTTCCCTTTTCTCCTTCCACAGCGAAGGTCTCTGCATAGGGAAGGCCCCCTTAATCCAGGATTATTTACCCAGAGCTTGTACCTTTTCCCAGATAGCCTCAGACTTTCCTTCTTAGACCTGGAGGGTAATCTGTTTCCTCAACTTGTGTCCTGAGGCTTTCACCTCTCCTCCCTCAGTGGGGATTAATGTCCCTACGCTGGCTCTTCCCAGAGGTGTAGGGAGATTGAGGTAAGGTATGGAAAAGCGCCTGAAAAACAGACTAAGATCTCACACTGTAGAAATGTCCCTCAGACTATTCTTGCTCCTGGACGAGGCTGAGGCCTAATTGCCGGCCCCTCTAGCTCACCCACCCAGCAGGATACCAACCAGATGGCCAGTGTCAAAGCGGATGTGGTAGTCAGTGGCACCTCTCCGCCTCCAGTAGGGAAAAAGCACCGGGTGCCGGGTGCCGTCCTGATGTGGGAGGACAGGGCTAGCCCCAGCTCAGAAGGCGGAGCGCCCCACGCAGGGAGTCCGCTGGTTGTCACCTCAGTATTCCAGCCAACCCTCTTCTCTTGCTAACCCCGGGAGGCGCCTCCAGTGGGTGTTGCTGTCTTCATCTTCCAGAATCTCTGCTGTGACTTGTGCGTTAGAGAGGAAGCAGAAAGCTGCTTGTTGTTAGCTCTGGAGAAAGATGGAGAAGAGGTGGAATCAGAAGTACCTGTGTGGGTCAGCATCCTGGACCCGAGAGAAGTGAACAAGTTCCCTCCCACACTGAGTTTTCCTTTAACTCCTGGGTCTCCCGGACACGCCTGTGCCTTCGGACCTCGCCTGACGTAGGCCCTCTGCCCCGTTCACATTTCATTGGCAGGCTCAGCCCACGCACTCCTCGGGATGCCATCTGCCCTGTCAGGCAGTGAGCTCTGAACCAGGGAGGCCCTCTCTGACCAGTTAACCTTGGGTTCAGGAAGCCAAGCAAAGACAGAACAGTGAGCTATCGACTGGGCTTTCTCCGAGAACTGCTATCAGAGCTCAGCCTGTTTTGTGCTCTGTTTTTGCGATAGTGGGGTGGCACCCAGTGGATGGGAACTCTATTCCCGTCTTGACTGGCGTGGTTGTTGGGATAACACCACGTTAAATGAATTGATCTGGCCGGGTTTAATAGTTCGTTCAAGCATTTAAACACCTTGCTAATGAAGTCAGACTGTTACCCGTGGGGAGAGCTCTACGTCTCCACCTGTTGCTAGTGGGAGTGGGCTTCTTGCAATATCCTGAGAAAAAGAGTTTTCTGAGATTTGCACGGGAGGATGAGATATTGTAAAAAGCTTTATTTCTTTGGAATCAAACCCCTGAGTTTCCAAGATCCTATTTTCCCGAGTCCCACCATAGAAGTCCCATTTTGCTTGCAGTCGAGCTAAAATCAAAGCCGGTGTCCAGAGTTCCGTTCCGGCTGGGACAGTCCGATCTAGCATCAGGCTAGCTTAGTGTTCCCAGCTGTAGTCCTTTTGTTCGTGGTGTGAGGGGTCCATATGGCCCATGAAGAGAGAGCTCCCTTGTTTGGGGGATTATGTATCCCCACATTTCACAGGCTTGCAATGGCCCTGCCTACTCTAGCCAATCCATGATTCCCAGGCTTGACTGACAGGCACTTTCCCTGTGTCACTCCGATTCATTGCACATGGGCCCATTTTCCCCTTTGTTGGGCCCCTTTCCGGTGAACTTCAGGGAATGGGCCGGTGGCTCCCTGGGGAGTGTGGAATTGCAGCTTCCTGGAGAATGCTTATAATGTCTGGCCTCCCTTTTGCTCCTTTCCTGTTATTAATAACTAGAGGCCCGGTGCACGAAATTTCGTGCACTGGGGGGGGGCTCCTCTCATCCCGGCCTCTGCCCTCTTTTAGTCCAGGACCCCTCACTCCTTACCACCCACCTGCAGCAGAGGCAGGAGAGGTTCCTGCCACCGCCGCTGCTGCACTCGCCAGCCGTGAACCCTCTGCCAGAAGCCAGGCTTATGGCTGGCAAGCACAGCAGCAGTGGTCGGAGCCTCTTCTGCCTCCAAGGCAGCAGTAAGGAGCAGCGAGCCTGGCTTCTGGCTGAGTGGCACACCCCCTGTGGGAACGCACTGACCACCAGGGGGCAGCTCCTGTGTTGAGCATCTGCCCCCTGGTGGTCAGTGCACATCATAGCAACCAGTCGTCTGCCGTTCGGTCTATTTGCATATTAAGTTTTTATTATAAAGGACTGGCTAATTACAATGGTATCAAGACCAGGCCAGTGGCTTACAAGAGCCACTAGGTAACATGTCCCCTCATGAAGAATCTAGTCTCCTGCCCCCATGGAGAGAAAGGACCATAATGTCACCAGTTCCAGGGGGACATCCCCAGGCACAGCAAGGTCTCAGCAGGAAGAAGAAGACCTTGTAATTAGCTAGGACCCTCTGCTCCTTTTCTTAGGTCGGAAGCCCTCTCTCCTGGCTGGCTCTCCCTCCCTGGTCCCGGCCCCCCTTCCTTTGTAAAACCCAAATACCACTGCCTGTAATTGTCCGCCAGAATCCATAGGCTGTGGCTTTTGACCATCCGCTCCAGTTCACCCTTGACCTGGTTTTGTTTTTTATTCTTCCCTCAAACAGTCTGTTCAAGGTCTACCCCTGAGCAGAGATTGGCTCACGAGCAGCCTCTGTCCTCTGAGCTGTAGGGGAGAGGGCAGTTCTGGAAAGTCATTGACAGAGGCCTGAGTAAAACATCAGTTATAAACAAGCAGCAGGCAGAGGGCCCAGATTTGGGTGTCCCAGCACCAGGAACAGTGTGGCCTCCTTAGAGCTGTGCAGACCGCTGCCCCGGTAAGAGGACCACCTTTCAGAGACCTCTAGAAGCACACCGTCCCGGCGGGAGTTGCAAGCACAGTGGCCATTGTTTCTCCCCTCTGGAACTTGGCAGCCTTCTAGTATTTTGGAAAGGAGAGGGCAGAAGGATTCTGGGAATGTCCTCAGAGACAGGAATCCAGGGGAGGGGTGGGCTGGATCGATGCTCACAGGCCTGTGGGGCTGGTTCTGGTCAGGGATGGGAAAGCCTGGGAGCCTAAGGTAGCAAATTCTACTTGGCAGTGAAAATGGGTTCTGCCTGCGACGTTGCAGGCAGAGGACGTTGGGCCATGGGTCCCAGAGCTCT